TTTCCGCTTGATTCGAAACTCCTTGCTTTGTTCTTGTTGTTAACTTTTTCTTGGTTGGATTTCATAAAAGGAACAAACTAAGGAGAAGTGATATTGAATTCCATTCAGCATGATAAGATAAAGATGCAATTTTAAAAGGAAAATGTTAAAAAGTAATATTATGAAGGTTTTTGATTTTATTCCTAAAATTTTGTGTTCGGCGTGTGTACCGTAAGTCAAATTATTGTTTTCCTTAGAAACATCAATCCATTCATGTTTCAGTTTACATAAATCACCTTTTTCGCATCGCCAAAGTCGAATTCCGATGGCATTGAACTTTTCTAAAGCAACGGAATGTGCCTTTAATGAAAATAGAAGGCAGGAATGGAATTGTCCATTACAAAGACGCTGGCGAATAAAGGAATTCATTCAATATTCCATTCGACTGTTATTTGACGTAAACACAGGTATGAAAATGCTATGCATTGCAATCGCGTGGCGATTGACATGTAAAATTAACCAGCAGCGTTATGTCGTTATGTCGAACGGATCGGCATCAATTTATTATGACTGCAAAACGCTGCGATGCATCATTCATTAGACGCGCGCGCTCGGATCGCAATTGGCGCCGTGCGTTTAATGATTAATTCAATGTGCGACTGTCATGTTTCCATTTTCATTTCGCGTTTGTTGCTTTACACAAATTGCTTAATTTGACATCAATGAAATACCAAATAAAGTAGAATAACCTACGATACTTTTAGATACAACTATAATACTATACTTTATTCACGGCTATAGGATTTACATGCCTGAGTTGCGGTATAAATACCAAATTTACCAATTAATTAAGTGAATAAATCAAAATTAATGAAATATTGCATTATAAATGTCCTAATTAAATATTTCGGGGGTTTGCAGCAGTTTTAATTGTAAAAGTATGGATTTAATGTACCAGTTTAGAAATTGATGAATGCGTATCATTTTTCAAAACACAGCCGACCACGACAAAACGCCGATACACAATGGCGGCAGAGGTCTAACTGATTTATGATGAATTGAACGTCGGCGGGCACCGCGCGCACGCCGAAGCCGATCGAACAATAATAAAATAAATATAACGGAAAACGATAATGATTGATTTGCGTTGCGCGTTTTATACACAGCGCGCGAGCAACATGTACCTAATGTGAAGCATGTGGACGTGCGTTGGAGCGCACCACCGAAAAGGTAGCAACATAAATTGTCATAAAAGTTAATTGATGAACCCGGATGAAAAACGTGCATCGTACATTTCTATGCAAAATATCCGATATAAATAAAGTCCGTAAAGCGTTTTTTACTGCACGTTTAATTAATGTAATTGCTTTTAACTTCATGCTTCAAGCATCAAGCATGCCGATGCAGTCCAATTTTTATAATAATTTAATAAGAGTTATTATCTTTAATGTGGGACGTTTTTTGATTAATGATTTATTAAACGCAGGAGCGGCCAACGTCAATAAAACTGAAGCTACAATAAAAAATTGTTGGTATCTGTCATAGTTATATATTTTCACATTTTAAAAATGTATGTTGCACTCATTATTTTAATTTTTGTCGGTAAATCAAGTCCCATGGCTTCCTACGTAATCGACGTGTTGTGTTTGTGGCTGAAGGCATTGCTTACGGTTACACTTTGGACTGTGGTATTTCGCAATCTGCATTGAGATGCTGGTCCACACGTCCCTCGTAAAACCGTGGACGGATACATGGTCACATTATCATATTCGTTGCTTGCGGTTTATTTTTCTGCGCGCTTTCCCTGCTGCCCAAGTGGTTATGTGCGGTTAATGCGAATAAAATCGTCTGGTTTGTCTCGGCGCAATTTCGAAATTTAAATATCTGCACACTGTAAGCACTAAGCACTTCAAGTGTGCGTTGTGTGCAGTTTTCGATTGGGGAAGCGAAACACACTCATATACTCACTGTAGGTTTGTAGTATGTACGAGTAGGTATCGTGGAGTGGAGATTGAACGTTCGGTCATTATGGTAATGCACCCTCTTCATGACTTATGTATTAAGTGCATCAGCAGTACACATGTGCAAGTTCCACAAAATGAATTCAAATGTTTGGTTAGAAGGAAATTTGTTAATCAATAGAATTATCACCAGTGTATCTTATTAATTCATACTAAATTCGAATTTAATGAAAATGTTTTTATTTCACGTCTAAACTCTGAACAGAAACAGAAAACCGTAAGCTTACTAACTTTACTTTTCCCCCACCATTTATTGCGGGTTGATTCATATCCTTCACTCCAATACCTCAGTATATATGCAACCAACAATACAGCAACACAGCATAACAAACGTGGTCTAAGCGAAATTCGATTTTCTCCTATGCATTATTCAATTGACCTTTTTTTCTTTCTATTCGCGTTCCCTGAATATCATTTCATTTTACGTTCGTTCAACCAGGTTCAACTCAAAGTGTATATAGTTTAAGATTGAACTCTAACCACATTTTGAGTTTCGCTTTCCAAAGCACACAAAGCGAGTCTTGTGAGCTCATCGCTCCAACTGTGAACAAACATAAACGCAGATGATTTACTGTAACAACAAATGAAGAGCGGAACGAAGAACTGGTTTAATAAATTGTAACGATGTTATAACGATGCGGTCGGAATCAGCTCGATCAGCATGAAACTACAAATTTACTAATCGTACACAGGCGCGCGCATTCAGCTAAATCGACATCAAGGCATATTAATGATAGTTTAATAAGATAATTGTTGGTTGCTGGAAATAGATCACAAACATGCGTAACTCGAGCGGACGCAGCGTGTATTTAAAGGATATTTAAGAATTGTAGTTATTAATATAGTTGACACGTAATTATACTTCACATGCAGACGGAATTGATTCTAATTAGTCATTGAGTTGAGTTGAATGAAAATAAAATAAACTAGAATATGAAATATTGGATTGTACAAACTGTCCGTTATGTATTTATTAGTAGGTATTTTATTTTTGGTTTGTGTAAAATGTTTGTGACAGGATTATTAAAGTGTATTCAGTGGAAAAGAATCGCAAGAAATGCCCGCGGACGATAATAAGGTGTGCGCGACGGGTGTAATTTTCCAGGATGTTATTTGCCTGTCATGTCCTGAACGATCGGAACGTCCACAGCATGCGATCTAAATAAACAATCATTTCTCCGTGTGCACTAAACATAAACGTACAGTTTTCTTCCTGTACATTCTACAGTTTCTCTAAATGTCAATCTCTCAGCACGACCACTCAAATTCAAATTAAAATGCTTATAGTTACGTAACATTAATTTAATAATTTACAGATGAAGTCTAGGAACAATCAGCAATAATTTCGAAAACGCCAGAAATGACTTGTCAATGAAATTACTCACGTGTGCACTAATGTACGCACGATGTGCAAGCTCATTATCAAGCCGCGGCTATTGTAAATCACCTGAGGTCGCCGGCTGTCGTCGATTACAAAAGCTCGCGTCATTTTTCATTCGACGTCTTCGGCGTGCGTCCGCATCTCAACCCGCGGCGTAGAAATGCGTTTTCTCTCAATTCATCGTCGCGAGTTCGTCGGTTCACGGCAGTAAAACGTAAAAATGACTTTTATTATATTGCACACCAGCCGCCGCCATTGTGCGGCGACGGCGCGCAGTTAATAAATAAAAAGATATGATGGGCATCGCTTCGAGGAGGAGAGCAGTCGAAGACGATTATCTTTTGTGTAACTAACGGGCACGTACCGTGCGGAGACATGTTCGTAAATGGTCCGCCACAATGGGCACAACTCTCAAACTCGCGCATTAATTCGATTGACATAAAGATACCTACAAGCGCTAAGTAATGTCTTGCATATCTTTTCATACCTTTTTATATCTCTGATGCTTTCATGCTAATCAATCGATCAAAAAGAAATTAAACTCTTTTTCTCAAACTACTAGTGGCTCCATCTCGACAAGTATTGCTCAATGGAAACTTGTTGAATAAGCATTGGAATATTTTACGTTTCTGGCCTTAACAAGTATTAAAAACGACTGTTTGCATTGTGAAAAACTTTAAAGCACACTCGAAAACCCTTGTGCACACAAATAAACGCCGCGGTAAACTCCGGCATAAAGCGTAAAAGTTTCAACCACTTTTTGTTTTTTTTTGTCGCGCTGCGCGTATTTGTTTGCTCGTGTTCAGGGCTTGTTTGTTCAATCAGATATTCCGCGGCGCGGAATTGATTCAACTGCATCGACAAATGGACGAATTTCGTGCCGCGTGTCTCCGCTCAACTGCTGACAACTCTCCCAGGAAAACTTTTTCTCAATGCTGTAAGTTGGAACAAGCGAAGTTTTACGTGTTTTACGTTTTTTTCTTCTTTTAGTTCGCTGCCAATCGCTGAAAAATGCAGCGTCAAACGTATCCGAACACATCGCAGAAGATCTCTCTTACTATTCTCCTAGCTGGTGGGACTTGAACTGGCACATTCAAAGAAGAAGGGAAAAAATCTAACATCGTACAAAGTTTCGTAGGAGTTTTCCCCTTGTACTTCGTATCTTGTACATCGTATGTAAGCCACGTCGAACTTCATATCGTCGAGAGATGGCTGCACGCCGAGATGCCGTAGATAAGAATGATGTACGACTTGTAAAACTGTAAAACATCGCAGTGTAGAAAACTAAAAATGTAACTACGAACTATATCCGCTGCCCAAAGTTAAACAAAAAACAACTGATCATGTGAATCGTGAATTTATAGCGACAGGTGTAATTTATTCGATGGTGCGCAGAGCGCACATCTTCATCATGTTGTGCTTGCATTTACATTTTATTTACATTCGCTTTTATTGAGTGTTGGGATTTACTTGCGTATCTAAAAAGCAAAAATAAGCGTAGACAACCTATTATACGTGACTATTGTATAGTGTGCAGTGTGTTTTATTTCGTAACATCTTTCGGATTTGCGTTAATTTGTAGCGACATGTCGCAAAGTTGCCGAGTGTTGTCAGGTGGACACAAGAACGCATGCATTACGTATTATTAAGCCATGCGGGGATTGTCGACGTGACATGTCGACATGTGCACTTGTGCAGAAATGCATCGGCGGTGTTTTCCAGCGTCCACTTTATTTTCGAATGGCAGAAAATCTGAACTCTCAATGTCTCCTGCCAGCGTCGCACGCTCGAGAATGTTGCACATTGGGAATACGCTTACAATATTTATTTGCATACAATGACATCGTTGGAGGAGAACAGAAGTGCTCAAAAGCACGACTCTTACACTCGTTGCTTGTCTAATTTGTCGGATTAATCTTGTATCTACAAACAGCGCACACCAAATAAAATTAAAAACGGTACAATAAAAACATGCTCACATCGTAGAAAGTTTTGTAGGTTAATGTGCGCTAATGGAAATTTATGTGACACCAGTACGAGCTGCAACGAAAGCACCAAACCGTGAAATTAATTCAATGGTGTAATTATTTTAATTATTAGGCGCTAACCGTTTGGTAATTATCTTTGCGCGTTCCAAGTAGGTGTTACGACGGGTGTCATTAAGTGATTAATTAACACCAGACGTAGAAAATCCTAAATAGGAAAATATTTCAACCACAAACAGAAAATAAATAAAATTTAAAACTTTTTCAACGTAGGCAACTTGTACAACATGCGTTTTACAAGTTATCCGCTTATGTGCTGCCGTCTACTCTTAATTATGGAACTACTCGTACTTCCTACGGTTATGTTTGAGACACGTTCTTTTCATCTGTATCTGCTATTAGATTCCGTGTTTATTTGAGTAATGAACGGATGTGTGCGGGCATTGATAAATTTTTCATATCATCCATGCATGCGTGGCATGAATGCTCGTAATCTAAATATTTTATCATCGCATAATTATCCGTTGTGCACCGCTTGGACCGCCGACGAACAAAAGTGTTTTACCTACATCAGCGCGATGCAAAGCTGGATTCCCGTAAGATGGTGGCGCAATGCGATGCTCAATGTGAGGTAAGTACTCCTTTGGCTTACTCGCTACTTAAGCAAGACGTTTATATCTTCTGACTTGAATGACACCATCGTGCATGATACTCGCGCGAGCACTTTGCTATTTATATTTATGCGCGTTACGTGGGCACTCGTGCACTACGTGCATAAACTCGTGCAGATAATTAAAGTAATACTTTGAGTAATCTATATAGGAAGTTTCAAATATCAGCCTATAACTAAACATATATAAATATTTTAAACATTTTTAGGTGTAATAAATGCCGGTGTAAAATTGGTTAGACATTCAATTACTGAAAATTCTGCTTTCAGGCTGTAGAAATCAGTCTAAGCAGATTTAGCAAATCAGGGCATCATCTTGGCTTGGAATCCAAGCGGAGTTTTGCATGATTGACGGCAATTAGCGAAACGTCCAATTGGAAATTATTACCAGCCCACACCAGTAGAAGCATAGTCGAGGATAGCGATCTAGGATTGACAATTGCGGAATGTTCGTGGATGGGCGCATAGAAAACCGCTAATCTCGATTGACTTATTAAGACCGGCGCGCTGGGTCTTATCCGCGTCGGTGGAAGACGTGCGGTCGTAACCCATCTGGGAATAATCAGTTCGGCGGCGTTCGTATGCGAGCGCATGCGGCGTCTGATTGAGTGGTTCTCGTCTTATCTAACAAATTACGAGTAACACAATCATCGTAATGAACGCTGCGCGCGCCCCTCCTGTTTACTCGTAATCTTGTTATCATCCCTTTTATTATCAGCCAAACGCGCCCCCTCTACGCTGCAACTTTGCTAATGCAGGCGAGGGATGCAACTGATGAAGGAGTGCATTCCTCAACTTGAACATCAGTAAGAGTAAATTAGTGATTTCTAGTGGTTGCAGTATTAATCACTTTATCCAATGTTTTTCTTACGTATATTGGGAAAAGAACTGATGAAAGGAATTCGAAAGCTACAAAAACTTGGCAATATTTCATGCGTCGTGCATTCCACAGATATCGCGATGACGTTGGAAATGTTGAAAGCACGACAGCAAAGGTAGAAACCAACAGGTGTGATTTATGTCATGTTAAGGTTGGGAAATTTCTTTCATTTCGTCATCTTGTCATTTCGCACGTAAAATTTAGTGCAAAAGATTTGAAGTAGAGAATTTTCAGGATATGCATGCCATATTTGTGAGGTAGATATTTTGCAAGTGTAAATTTATGTTTATATTGACAAATAATTCCGTCATAATAAATAATAATCCAATAAAACACAACATACGTGCGTCAAACATGAAACTTTCACGAATTAAAACGCGTTGGTAAAACTATAGTTGTGTAGTTAACATGCACGTAAATATGCATTGTGTGGTGGATAATTTATGTCGCAGCTTACCGATATGACGACATAAAATTCGTTGTAAAACGTTATTCGTTTGTTAAGTAGCCTAGAATTGTAATTGTTTCGCGTCGGCGCTAGCGGATTATGAATTATAATCTGAGTTACGGGCATAATGCAACGAAATTGCCACATGGAAATACTAAAAATAAAAAAGCCAGTATCGTTTGACTGAACGACCAACCGGAATGAACAAAAGCTGCATTTTTATAGGTTGAATGAGACTCGTAACACGTTTTTCGATGTTCCACCTGGATAATTACTGCTGAATAATCCTGAATATAAAAAAAATGAACGTAACATGCGAGTATTTAATTTAAAAGCAATTAAAGCATTGTCCCAAATAGAATGACATGCTAATCACCGTATTATTCAATATTTAGGAAGCAAACAATAGATTTATCATCGTTTTTTTTTTCATCGTTACACATCAGCATAAATATATTTTAATGAGTTTTCTTATCACAAAGGAAAGCAGGTTAACACACGGTACAAAGTGAGCGCTATTGTTGCAAAGTTTATGAACCCCCTTGTTTACAAATTACGAACATTATAGTGAGCTACACGGCCGCGAGACATAATAAAACAAGATGTCACATTGTGAAGCGAAGAAGGTTAATCCGGCGTGGCGTGCCGGGACCAGGAAGAGCCGGAAGTGCCGGGAAGCTGTTGGTGTAAAAATTGACCCGTAACACCGTGCCCCACATTCCACACCGGCTGTGGCGCGGCGCGTCTTGCATAAATATAAATAAACGACACGACACTGCTGCTTGCGGAGGCGGCGGCGGTCGGCTTGTTAGATTACGTCAGGCCGAGGGTTAATAACACCATACATTTTACACTCTAACCGCCTCCTGGTAGTAGTATTCCGGCATTTTAGGCGGTCGTATTCTCTGATGGCGATGCGCGTTGTGTTTGGAGTCGCGCCGTGACGAGGGTAGCCTCCGGACGGGGTTAAGCGGGCAAGTCGAGACCGCGAGTCGCATGCGGTCAGCGCATCCGAACTCGCCGGCGCCGTCTCGCAGGATTAGCGGCCGAAGGATCGACTTGTGAGCCTTGGTTGCTTCGGCCGGCAGTTTCGGAGATTAGCTGAAGTAAGACTCAAGACGGACGCCGGATGCTCTCGCCGAGTTACAATAAGAGGAGAAAAACGAGAGGCGGGATTTCATCCCTTGGCTTAATGGCTGTTTAATTTAAGACCATTTGTTACGCACTAACTCACTCTCTCGTTGTACTCGTAGAAAACAAAGAATCTACCGAAACTTTTTTCTAGTTTTATAATGATAGACCTTTTTGTTCGAGTCGCTTTTTTGATGTAAATTTGTTCGATTTTTTCGAAATTTAAGCCGCGTTGAACAAAACGGTCGGAACGAATGAATCATGGATAATCGATTTGAAGCGTGCCTCCGAATGAATGCAGATTATACGTTTGGACGCGCGTATGCGCACGTTCCACGCAAATTTCTACCCCGAGGCGTACAACAAGCGCCACAAGCTTATAAACTGAAGAGTCAAAGAAGAAATACTCATTTGCATTCGTTAGCAATTGACGTTTCATAAAAAAAGAATACAAAATTTTACATAACTTCTCATCATCCAACTTATGAATTATCCACGACAGATTAATCAAAAAATAAAAAAAATGTTTGCTACTTTTGTTCTGTAAGCGCAGCAGCGCGGTAGTGCAATAGTTCCGATGCGCTTGCGGGTATCGTAATTTATTTATCTGACCATTATGGCACGAACCGGTGTGGGCCCTCAGCCATTGGAACAATAAAATCTGTTGCGCTCAAATGCAGCGACGGCAGGCGCAATAAACGAACGTCGCTCGTCGCCAACACGAAAACCAGAAACACATCCCATGATGGCAGCCATAAGGCACAATATATACAAGGTGTATTCGTGCACCTCAGCCAACACTTTTCATTTTCGGTGCCACATTCGTTCCGAGCATGTCTTGTTCTAAGCGCGCTCGATGGCCTCTAAGTGCAGTAACTAAATAAAACCGCAGCAGTAAACGCGAATAAACGCTAATAAATATTTCAGCGCACCGCGTTGCATCGGCCAAGATTTCCCTTAAGAAACGTACGCGGCGCGGCTACGTTTTATTATTTATTGCGTGCACCAGCAAGAACTGAAGAGAGTATTGAGAGCAGGAGAGTTTACGAGATGGCCGCGGCGAATGCTGGCGCTCGTTAATTTCATGTGCAATGCGCGCTGCTCTATATTATATCGCGCGGAAACAATAAAATCTAAAAAAGGAGATAACCGCAACTACAAGCGCATGGCTCCGAGAGCGCCGATATTTTTTTTTACAGCTATACGACCTGCGCCCGCTAACGAACGCTGTAATATATGTACAAGTAACTAACGATTCTGTCGATGGTTTTAAATTTTACCATTTTCTGCGCTATTCGAATATAGATGGCGCTGGACGGTATATGAGTCAGTAGTTGATTCTGAAAAGTCACGCCAATTAATTTATGCGAGCGAGAAAAATCAAAATTAGATTTACAGAAAAAGCATGCAACGTTTACGTCGACAGTCGTAAAACCATAAAAACGTCGTTCCGACTGAAATCGAATGCGTCGCGTTCGATGGAGCGCATCCTCGCCGAGGGGGAGATCCGATTGCAGCTTGACCGATCAATTATAAACGCATTTTGTTGAGCGCTTTCGTTGCGCTTCGTTCTTTTAATCCACGCGCTGAAAAAACACGTTTTTCATGCTCACTTTAATTTATTTCACGCTAATTTTTATCGAAAACTTAAAACACAAAACGTGCCCATCCCTGTTTGGCGTTACGCAAACATATGTCTTAATTAACATCGGTTAACTTAAAGTCTGCGCTTGCACTAATTGCACGTTTTTTCTTATGATATTAAAACGTCGCAACAAACGAGTAATAAATCTTCGTTGCGCACGGTTTACTTTCCTTCACAATTTTTTGTTTGCTTGAAGAAAACGAGCTTTTGTTTGTGCAAGCAACGGTAACACATTAACAGCGCTAGTTTAATTAGATTACCTTCGAGTCGTTGTGAGCAGGGTAATGAAATTCGAGAATATTCGACGCTCGTTAGATTAGAGATCCAATTAAGCGAATTCGATTTTCAGCGCTACGATTATGAATATATTATTTGACGTAATGGTCGCCTTTATGTTAAAAACCAGAAGCTAACAGTTAATTGAAAAACGCTTCTATCTTGCGCCGAGTAGTCATTGAAAGCCGTTCACGTCTGTTTTTATAGAACGCCAACACAATGGGCACTTCGTGATCTTTCAATAATGATTTTTTTCGTCAGTCCTACTTTTGTGAGTTAAAATAACATGTTAAGTTTCAATGTGCTTATGAAGATCGTGCCTTTTGTTTTTATGGCGCGAGTGACATTTGCATATACAATTCAATTAAACTGAACTATGCTATAACGGGCACGAGCCCAGAATGAGTCGTCAACAAAATGAGATCAAACGTATTTTTTTTCTTCTATGTCATTATAGCTACTTATATTTATTTATATATTTTATATTTGGCTCTTTCCCTTTCAATTTGCTTTTTATTCACCCACCCACTCAATAATGTTTTGTGTTTTACGGCGTAATATCGTGAATTGTTTGGTCTGGT